GCTCTCGCCCGAGCGCGCGCGCATTTTTTCTCTTTCGTGTAGCTTGGGCCCGCGAGGCTAGGCTGTGTCTGGGTGCTGGTTATGGAATTCCTTGCCCACGAGACGAGCTCAATTTGCCGCCTTTCCAGGCGCTCGTCTGCTCGTCCTGCTCCGTGCTGTGCGTCTCATTATTACGAGCCGTCGCGCTCACCGTCCTCGTCATCTGCCCCCGCCCAGTCACCCGTCGTCGCTGCTGCTGATTCCGCTGTCGTGGCCGGGATAAAGCGTTCACCGGCTGACAAACCCGTTTCCTGCTGCTCGAGGACGACGAGTCCCAAGCACCCAAGACGGGTGGCTTTGAAAAGCTTCGTTCAGTGACATATCCCACGCTTCCCTGTCTATTTATCCTGACTGCGTTGCCGGACTGCCTTCCTCGTCACTGGCCATCGTCACCGCCGACCTCACGTCACCGCGGTCCACCGGAGGCCGCTGCGCCTTGCGGGCACGACAACACAGACGACGCCGCGACGCCCGCGACATCGATCTCGACCCTACCGACGACGCCTCGCTGGTCGCCACGCCAAGCGTCTGACGCCGTGCAACATTTTTGTGCCGCCGACGGGCCAGGCAGAGCAGGAACTCGACGCTGCCACGCGGAAGGCGCGGACTGCACCAGCGCAGAACATGGCCACCACGCCGCCGGCCGAGAACAGTGGCGTGCGGCCGTCGCCAGCGCCCACGGTGTCGACGGCGTCATTTACCTCGTCCAGCCAGCATGAAAGCAGTGACGCGCCTCTGCCATCAGCGTCGCTCGACGCCCCGCACCCGCCCACCTTGAACGGCGACACCAAGCCCGCCACTACTACCAACACCGCAGCCACTCCATCCAACCTGGCGCAATCAATACAGGCCAAGGCAGAGAGACCGGCTGGTCCTCAGAAGAAGCCGACCTTTACGTCACGGCTCTCGCGCATGTTTTCGCAGCGTGATGCGAACGGTTCAAGAGAGCAGGTCAAGGCCGAAGCTGCTGATAAGGTCCCCGAGACCGCTGTAGAAGACCCAGTGGCAGAGAGTGGGAAGCCGCGACCACCGAAGCCCAGCCGACAGTCGTCCAAGCACGAGAAGATGGAGGGCAACCTACGAAACGGATCCGTCTCTAAGAAGGGGAAAGGTGACGAGGTTGCCAATGCGGCTACGAAACGCTTCTGGGTTGAAGAAAGCGGAGAGCACTTCCACTACCTGCGAGGTGCCAAACGACAGGACAAATTGACAGACATGTTGCGTGACTTCATGTCAGGCAGGAGAGGTCGGGACCAGCATGAGGAGCAGCCACTGTCACTGATGTCGACCTGGGTCGATCAGATCAGGAACGAAAAGGACAAGATGGCGAAGGACAAGGAAAAGGGTCCCAACGCGACAGCTTCGCTCGTGCAAAAGTACGGCAAATGTCAGGAAATTGTTGGGCGTGGAGCCTTTGGTATCGTCCGGATAGCACACAAGACCGATCCCAACGACTCCAAACACGAACAACTTTATGCCGTCAAGGAATTTCGGCGCCGGCCGCAGGAAGATCCGAAGAAGTACAGCAAGCGCCTCAACTCGGAATTCTGCATCTCCTCGTCATTACGGCATCCCAATGTCATCCATACACTAGACTTGCTCGAGGACGCCAAGGGTGACTATTGTGAGGTTATGGAGTTTTGTGCCGGAGGTGATTTGTACAGCTTGGTGCTTGCTACCGGCAAGCTCGAGGTCACCGAGGCCGATTGCTATTTCGCACAGCTCATGCGAGGCGTCGAGTACATCCACGAAATGGGCGTTGCACATCGCGATTTGAAGCCTGAGAACTTGCTATTGACTACACACGGAGCTCTAAAAATTACGGATTTTGGCAACGGAGAGTGCTTCCGAATGGCGTGGGAGACAGAACCACACATGACGGCCGGCCTTTGTGGCAGCGCTCCCTACATTGCTCCAGAAGAATATATTGAGCAAGAATTTGACCCTCGTGCAGTCGACGTTTGGGCTTGCGGTGTCATTTACATGGCCATGCGCACAGGACGCCACCTTTGGCGTGTGGCGAAGAAGGACGAAGACGAATTTTACGACAACTACATTCGAGGTCGCAAGAGCGAAGAAGGCTATGGACCCATTGAGACGTTACACAGAGTAAGCCATTCTTCCTCGCATAAAGACGCAACTTCTACACAGAAGCCGTTCTTCCCTGAAGGGTGTACTCACTCTTCTTGTCAGGCTCGTTGTCGCAACGTGATTTACAGCATTCTCGACCCCAACGCGAGTCGTCGAATATCCGCCCATCAGGTCCTGAACTCCGAATGGGGCAAGGGGATAAAACTCTGCAAAGCCGGCGAGCAAGGTCTCTAACCCAGGTCCATGGGCAAAGAACCGCTCGATAAAAGGACGTTCCGGCCCTAAAAGTATTCACGACGAACTTTCTTGAACCACGATACGAACGAACGAACGACGATGACGATGACGATCTCCAACACTACGACCATTCTTTGGACGCGTCGTGAGATGTCCTCCAAATCTTCGCGACACGCAACGCATCCAATTCGGGCAAGGTTTTTGTGTTTAACGACTCGTCTTGGTCTTTTTATGCCTTTTTTGTTCTCTGCCTCCTTCGATTACGGAACGCAAACTTGTGGATATTGAGCGTTCAGCGAAAGCGGCCTGTACTTGATGGAGAGCATGGAATACCCCCGTTACAACATTATTCTTCAGCGCTGCTCTTTCCAGGCATTCATGATGAGAGGACTACTTCTTTTTTTCCATTTCCGCGAGCCAACAAGCGTGTTTATACACTTCTGTTTCTTGCGCTCGCTTCTTTGCATAGAAGGCGGCTTACGAATGCTTCGATTCGACTCTCGTTTCGGAACGATTGATGCTTTCGCCGGGGAACTTTGGCTAGAAGGCGCTGTTCTTCGTGTGGCTTGAGACGATGGTGGAAAGACAAGCCAGCCAGATGGACTCGAGAGTTCGGTCGTTTTGTACATACTTGCATACTCTCAGTTACAGGCGCACAAGAGCGTCAGTATGGAAATATATGCATTGACCCGTCTCCTTCGTGGAGAGAGAGGCGTTACGACCGACTACATGACAGTACAGTATCTTGTTGTTGCTTCGCCCGGTGGCCTCGAATTTCAGGCTGAAATCCGGAGTTACTTACTCCACGTTCTCTGTTTGTACCTCCTGTACTCAGCTTGTACTGCGCCATGCTCGAAGGATTCGAAGCATGACCTCTCCCACATACAACTCAGCCTTTGCCTTTCGACTTGACGTCAGATGTAAACGTAACTTTGGAGGCCTCAGGAATCCTACTTCCTGTTGGATTCTCGATGACTTATCTCGTGACAACTGGTCATTTAGCACACGATTGGCGGGTTTTCGGGTTTGTGCGCGTGCTTTCCTGCTAAACCGATGGTTATTTGTCGGAGCGTTGTGCTTCGTCTTGTCTAAGCCTTGCGCCTTGCCTTCTAGCCTCTTTCTGTGCATGCCGCGCCGCAGGGCTGTGGAGGCTACTGTTATCTCATTCGTACATGGTAGATGGGCTTTGATCGGTTCGTAGGAATGAGAGACAAGTCTACGAAATCGTTTCTGCGGAAGATGATGATATATAGGATCTTTGTTTCGGGACCACCTTGAGTGATTGTACAAATTTGTGAAGTTTTGTTTTGAAGTTGATATTGAGATTCAAGAGACAGAAACAACAACAGAAACAGAAACATCATGGGTTGCGCATCTTCGAAGCCCTCGTATGGCGGGCGAAATGCCAGGTAGGTATTGACTGGTCCACATTCCCTGTTCTTCAGGGGGCTAATATCCTCTATCAGATATGCAAGAAGACACAACAAACACGGATATCATAGCGGCGGGTATGTTGCATCGTAAGCTGGACCCTACTGCTGCTAAGAGAGCCAAGCACTGATGTTGTGTAACATTAGCGGAGGATTCTTCGGTGGGGACGGAGGCGGAGGAGGAGGACATAGTGGCGGACACCATGGTGGACATTTCTCTGGAGGTAAGGATATGATGAGCGGAAAAACGTTGTGCTGACGCTGAAGCTGACGTGTGAATGATAGGCGATGGAGGAGGTGGTGGTGGTTGTGGCGGTAAGTTGTATCGATTGCCGCAGTGAGACGATTCTTGTGCTGACGAGTGTATTTAGGCGGCGGTGGTGGCGGTGGTGGAGGGTAAGACTTGAGCTGTGTCCGGGAGATCGAGCATTCACGGCCTGGGCTGGAGAATTGGTTCCATACACGAGATTGCGCGTTGCTTGAATAGTTCGAACAATCTTTCCTAGAGATCTTTGAATGAGCATTCAGATTACCACATGCTGCTGGCGCCATGCCTCTCCGGCGCGTGTCGTCTCGAAATATCTTGAGCCTGTGAAACGTTGCATTCGGATGAAACCCCAACGCTCATCGCCATCCAGCAGTTATCGTTCAACATAAGCGGTCGACCTGTCTCGCTGGGAACTGTGGTTGTAAGCTGCACCAGCTGCATGCGGGAGAGCTGGTCGTGCATCGGAGTGCGAAGCGTTCATGCCCGTCAAACCTGCTTTTCACGCAGGAGCTGGAAGCTGTGCCGTTGGATGCACACCGCTGGCAGAGAGCAACATTCTGCGAGCACCGTGAGAGAGCATACAGAAGTGCCACAAGAAGTCAAGGTTTTAACCAGTCGTAGATTTGCGGAGGACCAAGAGCAACAGTTGGTGTTGTACAGATCGAACAGCACTCCTGGTGCCTGTGTGCCGGGTGTTCTATCGTCGGATCTGCAGTTCTGGAATGCCGGCTCTTGCGGGTCCACAGAATAGGCTGGACGCTGGTCTTCCCCGCAAATGCACGCACAAAGCGAATCAGCGGCAGGCTCGGCGCAGTGCTTGTCCCTCCATCCCAGAATCACGACAATTTCCGTGCAGCAGCGAGCGGTCGGTGAGCCGGCTTACAACTCGACTGCGAATCCTGCTTCCTCAACCTCTGCTCGCAACCCCGCCGCTGTCTTCGCTATCGCCAGCGCTCATATTTTAGCACGTCCGTCCGTGTGTCGTTGTGTCGCCGTGAACATTGTGCGAGTGTCCCGCGCCCGGTGCCCGACGAGACAAAAAGCAGCAGTTCGCAGGCACACGACGGCCGATCAGGGCCACAAGTACCTCACGTTACTCTCGTGCACCGGTTCGACGGGATTCCAGCTGCCCCTTCCGAACGGCCGGCAAACCAAGTCACGACTGCCCACAAACGTCACGCTCGGAGGAAGTCGCGTGCGACACCATCCACAGGAGCAGGAACATCTCCATTTCTAATCGCCGACCACCACCTTGTCCTACGTCAGCCACTACAAAGAACACACCGATTGCGATCAACGACTGCTCCAACACACAACACCCAGCAACACCACACAGACGCTGCGGCACCATGTTCCCCGTCGACTCTCTTCCTGCCGCATACCACGAGGAGCGCGAAGCCGCCGACGCTGCCAGGCGCCTGGCCCACATCCAACAACAGCAGGCCAAGGCACAGGCTGCAGCGGTAGCCGGCGCCTTGAAGAACGCCTCGCAAGACAAGCCGTGCACACAATCTCTTCTACAGCAACCACAGCTTTCGCGACCGGCTTCCACCACCGTATTGGGCAACATCTTCCAGGGCTTTGTTCGCTCATCGCAAAGCCCGCCGCCAGCCAAAGGTTCCATCAGCGGCTGCTCCACACCGGTCACGACACCACCAGCAAAGATCATCACCCAGGCAGACATCGAGCGACAGATGGCCGAGAGGAAGCGCGATGCGGACATTGTGGGTTCGTCACCTGGTTGGTGGTAAGGAGGATTGGAAACATGATGAAACGGTATAACGATACGATGAGTCGTGCCGTACCTCTGAGCGACTTTGGAATTGAAAAGCGACCGGCGCACACGGAGATGGTCGACACGACACCACGACATACTTCACATGATACCCCTGAATGGTTACAATGACAGCACGTTTGGGTTTTGAGCGAGGGTGTTCGGAGTTTATATCGGTAGACCGGACAGTATTAATGCAGCAATGCAATGGGCAATGCAATGATATCCATTGACCCTTGACACATTTCGACGCTTGTTCGCAGCCACCAGCTCCACATCATCCTGCTATGCATCGGGAGCATTTACAGCACGCGACCGGTCCGTCATCGCAGCTAACATATTCCGACCGCACTCGACATATCAACATTTCGTTCATCGTGCTGAATCAGTGCCCAAACATCAGACGGAACGAACAGATTCAACGAAGCCTTATAGGGAATGCCCCCTCTACAGCCACTCGCAACGATTCACGGCCTCATAACGATGAAATGGTCTATGGGCCTCGGAACCATCTCGAAAGTCTTTGACTCCCTGCGACGCGACACATTCAATGCTGATCGCGTGTGCACCAAGCATTTGGACTGCACCATTTGCATGTTAGAACGCGTGCCGGCGACGTCTTGATTATAAATGATATGCAGTGTGCGTGCATCGGGGTATCGCAGCACCTCTTCGCCACATGGGCTTGCGACCACAAGCCAAGCAATGTTTGGTTTGGTCAGCGAGTAGCCAAGACAGCCATCCACCATCTTGCAGCGAATGATGTCAGCAGCAACAAAGAATGTTCCTCGCGTACAGCTCAAACAGAGTTCACCTTGAGAAGACATCTGGTCGGCTAGAACCACGGAAGCGGACAGCAGAAACGAGACCGGCAACCGGACACTGTCGATCTCTGGATTGCTTAGTGATCTCCAGCCATTGTGGCTACACAACCAAAATTATGCTGCATCCTGCATCTTTCAGCAGATTGCATAAACCAGGCACTGCGTATATAACGTAACATACATGCCTGATACCTCATGACTACATTCGACCTTCAGACAATTTCCTCAACTCGCTAGCACCCACCCACGATCCAGCCTTCAATCATGGCTCCCACCATTCTCATTGTCGGTGCAACAGGCAACACTGGCAGGAGCGTTGTTGAGACCCTTCCTGAATTGCTTGCCAAAAGCCAGACGCTCTCAAGTCACAATATACTGGCTTTGACACGGTCCAAGAGCGGTGCTGCCGCTCAAAAGCTCGCACAGCTCCCGGGTGTCGAATTAGAGGAGCAGAATTGGGTCGAGATCACAGAAACATGGCTCCGCGAACGCAACATAACCAGGATCTTCATCGCCTCGCACAACGAACCTCTGCACTTTGCTGAGGAAAGCCAGTTCCTTGTCAATGCACTACAAGCTGGCGTCAAGTACGTTGTTCGCATTAGCACAACCACCGCAAACGTGACTCCGACTTGCAAAGTCTACTATCCGCGAGCACACTGGGCGATTGAACAGATGCTCAGCTCGCCAGAATTCAGCGAGATGCATTTCTCATCTTTGCAACCGGCCATCTTCCAGAATATGACTGTCGCACCCATGGTGGAGTGGGTTAAGAAGTTCAAAGAGACGGGCAAACAAAATACGTTCCGCACCTATCTAGATCCAAAGGCACCGATTGCAATAGTGGATTCCGATGATGTTGGAGTTCTGGCCGCACATTTACTGAGTCAAGATGACACCACTCCGTTCAATCACAAGCGACTTTCCATCTATGGACCGGAAGATGTCACTGGTGAACAGCTTGTGAAATTGGTTGAGAAGCATATTGGCGAGAAGATTCAAGATGTCAGTTATCGGGATTGGACGTTCTTGGACGAATTTCTCAAGGGTCATCCTTCCACGTATTTGATGTCGTATATGCATGACCAGGCGTATACTCTCTATGACGGATCGTCGAACGCTGCGGCTACGAGTCGAGAGGTTGTTGCGTTGGCGCCGCCAAAGGGCAAGATTACTGAGTTGTTGCAGAAGGAGTTGGCTGGGATTTAAATACTATGCGCACAGTGGATATGTACGACAGATAGAGCTAAACAGAGCGAGTAGATATAGTAGCCAAACGCTTTTGGCTTCCAGCATTGCTAGTTGCAATTTTGCTCCATGGTGGTCTTCATAGTCTTGCCGCATAGATACAACGTCATTTCTTACGATGGCTAATCGTGTCGCTAATTCGCCAAAGGCATTCTGATTTGAACTTCGAGTTCAGTAATTCGGTCGAGGAGCCGAGATATCTTTTTTCCAGGCTTGATATGCTCCTGAAGACGAATGCTTCAGGCACGGTGGCTGTTGAAAGAGCATCAGAAGCACTTGTGTGCTCAGAAAACTGGGTTTCGAGCTGCTGAACGACCCAAAGGTAACTCTCAAGGAAATGTGGTCCGTACCATTACTCTCACTCCCGCTTACTCCCCTTCGTCTCTCCCTCCAACCCAATTCCAAAACAAAACAACCCCCTCACGATAGCACAAACCCCAACAATTACAATATTTCCCCAATCTTCGGCTCTATACACCCTCGGATGAAGTCGTCCTTGTTGATCCAAAGCATAGAAAATGCTATACAGCAACGCAATATCATAAACCAATTGTCCTGCTTGAAAGGTTTTCCAGATCCAAATCTCATTGGTTTTTCGGAGAAGGAAGAGTTGGAGGATTACACACATGAGGAGTGCGCCACCGAGTTGGTGTTGGAAGAAAGTTTGGAGGGGGTTGTAGGGGGAGAGGGAGGAGGGGATGAAGGCGGAGGTTACGAGGGATGGAGTGAAGAACATCATGGAGATGCCTGAGAGGGCGATTAGGGGGTCGAGGAGGGTGAAGAAGAGGGTGTAGGGTTTGGGGATTGGGGAGGGCATGATGGCAGTGGGAAGTAATGATTTGGAGCTGGAGGAGAGCAGCTCTTGAGTAGTTTGTGATGACAGGATGAGAGCAGTGCTGGAAGCGTTGTGTCCGGGCAGATGTTCAGCTCAAGGTCAGGGTCAGCTTGTGTTCTGTGGCAGCTGCAGTTAGAGCTGCAAGAGGTCTCAGCTCGGAGGCTTGATTCTGCCGCGTGTTCCACGCGTCGATTGTAACCTCACCTGCTACCATTTTCCTCTCAGTCTCCCAGCTAGAGCTGCATCGCCCAAATCTCTTGCGCCATACATCTGCAAGCGCCGACTCTGGCCAACAAGCCATTCGTTGGTTTTGCTCCGCCTGCTCAATGGGCGGCTCGTCGCGACGAACGACCTCTGACTCCCAACGGCCGCGCAATCCGAGTACCAGCATCTCAAAAGCCTTGACCGAAGGTGCTCCGCTCCTCCACAATGTAGTAACAACATGGTACTTGGAGTATGGAACAGTGCGCCACATGATCAAGTGAAGTAGATGTGTAGTTTATGGACCCATACATTCTTTCGCAACAGAAAGGGATCTGCGTCTTCGGTCGTCTGAGGTACGCCGAGGCCTTCCGTGGGTAGATACAGGGGGCTTTCGAGCGGTTGCGCCTCTTCTGCCCATTGTGGGACTTTCTCGTGGACTTTGGGTCGTTTAGCTAGCGCTTCTAGCTCTTCAGAAGTCAATATCCCTTTCGCTGAGTCTCTAGGCAAGCCGAGATCAATAAGACGATTGAAAGCGGCAGCAAGGGCGAAGGGTATAGCAGAGATGACGGCAAATCGCTCCAGATCCTGGTCGGAAGGCCTAGGAATGTTGGACAGCACCCAAGAATCTTCTTTTCGCGTCCAGAAGTACTCGATCTCATTGCGCATGACGATAGTGTCGTCCATGACAATAGCCCAGTAGATGCGATAGATCGCCCCTAGGGGTGTATCCAGTTTGCGGTTCTTGGGTCTTTGCACGTAATATAATTCCCTGGGGTTCGAGAGCAATTCGGAGGGTCCCGGCGGCGTTGAGTGGACGGCAGTCTTGCTGCTCGACAGCGCACAACCCATAACGCCACTTAAAAGTCGCCGTTTAGTGCAGTAAAGACGATCTCCTACTGCTGCGCTGTGATTGTGGCCGGCCAACCTGGAGGCTGGGGACCAAGGGATATGTCCTTGTGATGTCACATGCACCGGTGTCACTTTCATCCGATCTCCGAGACACGTCTCGTGAAGAGTCCGTCCGTCCTCCATACATGTACTTTGCACCTTCGTGTCTACCACCCGGGTATTGCATTCGAGCAATATGGCATTGGATGCCATTATCCATCGGAAGGAAACACCCTGGTGGCGACAGTTTCAGGATGCGCCATGCCCAACACTCGCCAAATCGCTCTATTCGTGGCGTCGGCGCTTAGCACTCGACCAGAGCTCGCAACAAGCACCTGAAACTGCTGACGATATTACAGTAGTCTGCGTGTCGGACACTCACAACAGCCAACCAAAAATTCCACCGGGCGATATTCTCATTCACGCGGGCGACTTGACCCAAGGCGGCACCGCGGCAGAATTGCAAGCACAATTACATTGGCTGGATGCTCAACCACACGCACATAAGCTCGTCATTGCAGGCAATCACGATATCATACTTGACGCTGCCAAATCTGCCGAGTTCGGATTCTCACCTGAAGCTCGACAAGCGCTACAGTGGGGTTCTCTCATCTATCTTGAGCATTCCTCTCGCACCGTAGATGTTCGAGGGAGGAAAGTTTCCATATTTGGACACCCTTCGACTCGAAAGCATGGAAACTGGGCTTTTCAGTATGACAAGGGTGCTGATGTTTTCCGCCATCACGTCCCAATGGCTGTTGACATTCTTGTCACACATTCTCCACCCCAGTTCCACCTTGATGTGGCAGGCTGGGGTGAGGGTTTCCTGCTGCAAGAAATCCAACGAGTGAAGCCAAAGCTGCACGTTTTTGGACACATCCACGCAGGATATGGTCGAGATGTAATAATTTACGATGTGTTTGAACGCCTGTATGAGGATGTGTGCTCACACCACGGCGGTATACTGGCTGTGCTCCACATGATATACTTGCTACTTCACATGGCTCTTATGGGTCTATCTCGCAAAGCAGAAAGCACTATTCTGATCAACGCATCAGCTGTTGGGGGCCTTCGCGAGGAGAGTATCCGGACAGTACAGACTGTGCGTCTGTGATCTCAGCAGGCGCGCGTGTACTACGCGCTGAACAAAGACCACGCAACGCTATGGATCCCAGCAGTTTCAGGGCGTGCGGCACGGCAGTTGCATTTGATACTATATGAGCCACCGAGCAGAGACGAGTAGTTGCACAACACCATTGCATCAATCAAGAAACCAATCTTCGAGCCACCACGATACTCGCGCAAAGCAAAGCATCAACATGTGTCACTTCTGTCTTAGAGGCCGCCGTGATCTTCACCTGGAAGATCTGGCGCCTGTACCAGCTGCAGCTCGGCAGCCAGGTGGGACCCAACAGCCAGAGCAGCAACAGATGACCAGAGCGGAAATTCAAGCACACCTTCACGCCGTCGCAAAATATCTACACAGCAAGCGCCAGTACCTCAGAGTCGTCGGTGTCGGTGGTGTGATTGCTACCTTGTCTCTGGGAACACGCAATGCAACACATGATATAGACATCTTCTCCGACAGCATTAGCCCAGATCAGGCCAACTACCTCCGTGCCGCGGTACAAAAGGTTGCTAAGAAGTCAGGCTTGGATCCACATTGGCTCAACAATCAGACCATCCTCCACATTCCGGTCGACCTTCGCGGACGTATTCAGGAAGATGCTGTCCGCCAAAATTACGTTCTCTTCGACGAGCCTGGATTGCAGGTGGTAGCCGCGCCATGGCTATACTCGTTCACCTCCAAGCTTCATCGGATCTCTGGATCAGGAGCTGGTCCTTCGCGGCAATATGATCCTCAAGATGCTGCAAACTTCTTAGCCAAGTACCTTCAGGCTGTTCGAAGGCCTTCAATCACAGTATCAGAAGTGAAAGCGTGGATGGAACGTTATAAGATTAGGATAACAGACGATTCGTGAGTAGAGCATTGGGCACAATCAATGCCGCGGCTGGCCGCGCCATTGTCACCAGTGGCTAGGCAATGTTCGTTTCTGGAGTTGTATCGCAATGGGCGGGATCTTTTACTCTGAAGCGTCTGGTCTTCCATGATCCTCTCAGCTTGATCGAATTTGTCACCTACAAACCAACATCGTCAAATTCTCAATAGCGCTGGGCATAGAGAGTATCAGCAATGGATTAATTTTGAGTAGGTGATATATGTCAGAGCCGCAAGTCTCTCTTCAGTGTGCGGATCACAAACACGAAGTGCACAGTTTGGAAGCCAGTACAATGCAGGAGGTGGGCGAGACTCCAGACCACCGAGCATGGAGTAACTCTGTGCGTAGACTCAGAAGTCACACCTTGATGGTAGGATGTGTTACGATAGCTTCCAAGGGCATTGTTCGTGATCACTTTGGCGTCTGAAAGGAACCAGCACAGTCAGCTCTATTGTGTATTAAGTCTTTGCTCGATTGAGAGATTCGGTCTGGCAAAGAGAGCTTTGAGATCTTGCATATCCGTCTTCTCGTTTTTGCACCAAAATTGTTCTACCTCACATTCCAAAGCATATCGCGTTCATGAACCTCATAAGCTTGAAAAACGTTCATTGTTGAGCGTCAATCATCGACACGGCCAGATCTGCCAATGTTTTGTGGAACGTGCCGGTAGAATTACAATGCTACAATGAGCAACGCTGTCTGAGACTATGTAGCGTAGCTTGTAGACAGAGATCGGACTCTCTCCCAGATGATGCACGAGTTGCTGTGTTGCATACATCGCAATCGACTTTGATTGCAGTCATTGGGAAGGAAGCCGGCGGCTGGACTTTGAGCCGATTCGCACCAATCCACCCGACGGCAGGATGCATCAACGCCTCTTCTTCATCCTTCCACCAACGCTGTGTCTCTCAGACAGTAAGTATCCATCGCTGTTCGCGATAGTACACTCGGCACCGAAGTAGGTATCGTGCACCATGGGCAATTCGCGGTAAGAATGGAGTGCGACAGTATATTAACTTGTGGAACGGCTCCCCATTGCCATTGTCTTTGCACGCCATCACAAACACAGAATACGTCAAACAGAACCGAACTCGGGCTACAGATAGACACCGCTTCTACACAACAACAGTCATGGCTACTCCAGTATCGAGTCTCCGCAAAATCATCGTAACCGGCGCGACAGGAAAGCAAGGCGGCGCGCTCATCGAAGCTCTCCTCGCACGACCAACACCCACCTTCGAGATCTACGCCATCACACGCAAGAAGTCCTCATCTTCAGCCCAACGCCTCCTCTCAAGACCAAACGTCCACCTCGTCGAAGGCGACTTCTCCAACCCAGCCGCCATCTTCTCCCAAATCAAAGACCCATGGGGCCTCTTCAGCGTAACAATCCCCACCAACGCCACCAAAGAAGAATCCCAAGGAAAAGCCATGACAGCAGCCGCCCTCTCCTCCGGCATCAAACACATAGTCTTCACAGCCACAGACCGCGGCGGTCCCCAAATCTCCTCCACCAATCCAACCCCAATCCCCCACTTCGCCAGCAAATACAAAATCGAACAAGACATAATCACCCAAACCCCCTCCCACAACGCAACCTACACCTTCCTCCGCCCCGTCGCCTTCTTCGAAAACATTTCCAACAACTTCCTCGGCCGAGCCTTCATCTCCATGTGGCGCCTCAACTCCCCCAACTCAAAACTCCAACTCATCTCCACATCCGACATAGGCCTTATCGCAGCCCAAGCCTTCCTACACCACTCCTCCCCAAAATACAAAAACCAAGCCATCTCCCTCGCAGGCGAAGAATTAACCCTCCTTGAAGCCCAACAAACCTTTCAATCCGTGACAGGAAAACCCTTACCAGAAACCTACCCTTTCCTCGCGAGAATAATAAAATGGCTTCTTCATGAACAATTGGGTATAATGTTTAATTGGTTTAAAACCCATGGATTTGGGGTAGAAGTTAAGAGTTTGAGGGAAGAGTATCCTTTTTTGAAGGATTTTCGAATGTGGTTGGAGGAGGAGAGTGCGTGGAAGAAGAAATGAAGAAAGACATCGACAGTGGAATCATGCAGCAGATTTCCATCAAGGTCGTAGCCTCAGGCAAGGGCACAGCAAGCATCGCATCTCACCAATCCAATCCAAGCCTTTTCTTCACCTTCCTCGCTCACGGCAAGTAGATCTAAGATCTAAGATCTCGCCATGTTCCGAGCCCAACTTTATTCTGTGGCTACCCTGTTGGTCAGTGCGGTCTCGTAGTCATTCTTGTATTCCTGAGCCCTATTCCGACCTCACGAGCTGTCGCTGGTCGCCTGTGGCACTCGCATCCCACGAATCAAGTGAAAATGGAAAGAGAGAAAAGAAGACTATACCATGACCTGAATTCAAGTCACTGCATATCGCACACACGGCTGCAAAAATGCCCCAGTGGTATCGCCGCTAGCTACCGTACTTCAGAGAGCTTATCAAAAGCCTCCAAATGTGGTTCATTCCCTAATGCTTTCGTCCCGCAAAACCTTTTTGTCTCGTCGTGATGGGTGTTGGCCATGAAAACATTTCGCCCTTTTTCAGCCAAAAAGAGAACAATTTTTGTGTGAGGAGAAAAAGGGCAGAACTCGCGTTCGTCTCCCCTTTTCCCGCCCATGCGCCGTAGGTGATCGGTGGAAGTCGTGTTCCCTCCCTCAATGCTCCGTCTTCGCCTCTTTTACAGCCCATCGCAGAAAACATCATCTACCTTGTGTGAAGAAGTGGAAAGCAGCATCGATCGAGGCACTCTCGCTAGGGTTCGTTGCTGGACCAGCGCGCGTCCATATCAGATCCATGAAGTTTTGATGAGGTGTATCGTTTTTCCCAAAGAGTATCCAGGCCAGAACGGTTCAGCATGGGGTGGGTCGTGAACTCCAGGCTCGATGAACGCCGTCCCTGTGTGACCGTTATTATGACCATGCGTCGCTGCGTAACTTCATGACTAAAAGCTCAAGCTTTCGTTCGGAGTGAGAGGTAAGAAAGGGTATAGCCCTCTCAGTCCAGACGCGCCATCATTTGATCCTTGGTCAGTGGTGTCAAATTGTCGATGTCTAGCCCCTTGCCAGCCAGTACCGGCTTCATGTGCGCTGGGACGAGCTGAGCGTTCAAATGTGGTGCGATCGACAACTCTGCATATCGTGGTCAGTATTCAAAGCTCGTGGGTCGCCGCATGTTCAACATACCATGATGGGAGAAGTCGAAGAGATTTGGCAGATCCTTGCTGGGTCCGCCTGCGTGGCGCGAGTCTGGAAGTCGCGTGTTCGGATCTCTGAGCTCGTCGAAGAATGGATGCACCATGGCGTCAATTGCCGACAGACGCTGCGTGGGTGTGTACTCCAACAGACGCGAGATCAAGTCGATTGCATTCGGATCGGCCTTCCTAAACACCTGTGCGCGCGACATGTCAGCAAAGGGACTTTCCGCAGTGGTGCAAAGCAGACATACCTTGCTGAATGGATGCGGCTTGATTTGTGGGAACTTGTGCTCCATGTAGTTCGGATTCATAGTCCGAATCTGATCACGAGTGGGCGTGCCAAGCACTTTGATGATCTCCACTAATTGATCGATACCAGACTCTCCTGGGAACAAAGGTTGCCCGAGCATCAGCTCTGCCATGACACAGCCCGTGGACCAGACATCTGGAATGATTGTCAGCGATACGATTCGAACGATGGGACAGATTGGTACACATACCAATCTTGGTGGTGTAGTTCGTGGCACCGAAAATGAGTTCCGGCGCACGGTAGTAACGCGAGCAGATGTACGAGACATTGGGCTCATTTTCCACCAAGATCTTTGCGCTACCGAAATCGCACAGCTTGAGGATGCCCGAGGCAGGATCGAGGAGTAAGTTCTGCGGCTTTATATCTCGGTGACAGATGCCTTGGGAGTGGATGTAGGCGAGGGAGCGGAAAAGCTGGTAGATGTACAGCTTGACCTCGAGGATAGGCATCGTGCTCTTCAGCTTGTTGAAGTGGCGTGAAGCTCTGTAGACCGTCTCCGGAACAAACTCGAGGACCAGGTTGAGATAGACCTCATCTTTCTGCGCGGCAATCAGAGAAGTCTGCACGTTCATGCGGGCGTCGGTATCTCGAACCCTGTCTCCGTTGGAGTAGTAGAATGCCTTGAGTTCGACAATATTGGGGTGGCGGACGATTCGCATGATTTGCAATTCTCGGTTCTGTCCGCATGTCAGCTCTGTATGTCCGCAAGGACAGTGCATTGGTGGAGACTTGGATTACCTTGAATCGCTTGTCCTGAAGCACGCGCTTGATGGCCGCATCTTCGCCCGAAGGAGACAATTTGGTCTGGAACACGACGCCAAAGCTGCCATTGCCCACAATCTTGCACTGTGTGTACTGCATCTCCTTGGTTTCGCCGGTCAGGCCATCCTGCACCTTTTCGCGAATGACTTCGGAACCTGAGTCTCGAACAGCGTCAGCAGTTGTCAAGCAAGGTTTCGTGCAGTGCACGAATGGACTGTATGTGCCATGCTGTGGGCGAGCTCGAGTCCTGGCTCTCTGCGAGCTGGCACTTGGAGGGGACTGATCGTGTCATGCGGGATACACACCTCCCATTCTGAGGCCTTGGAATTGAGGCCGATTGTTCGACATTTGAAGCTGAGGAAGGGCTCACGCGCTCAGCAGCTGCGTGTTGCTATCGCGAGTAGGGCGGACTGCGGTTGAGCAACGGGTGGGCGGAGCGCGGTGGGAGGGTGCGAATGCGTTCCGTGGTTGCGGTTCGTGAGGTGCTTCGTGCGCTTCGGGCGGTGATGTGGTCGCGTTGCGAGGCGGCGCGAGGCAGCGCGGAGGTGGAGGTGGAGGTGGTGCGGCAGAGGTTGGTCAGGTGCCACCAACTGGGCTGTTGCGGCGGGTCCAGTGCTTTTGCGGACAAAAGTCTGCGTGAATGGCTGGCTTGCGCGGATGGCAGCTGCAGCGGCGGTAGCAACGGCGTGGATGGAGCTGGCGGCGCGAGTTGAGTGTGTCGAGGGTGCGCGGCGTGAAGTGGTAGTGGTGCTGGGCGGATGGGTGCTTGCAGCAGTCGTGGTTCTCAAAGAGGCAGTGACGATGGTGACCCCTCACACCAGGTTTTGATGGCGTCGTTGGGGAATGGCACACGACTCGGCGGCGGGCGTGCAGGGCAGGCGCTGCTGACGAGGGGCGTGACAGGTGAATTATTCACGGCGAGAGCAAGACGGACGCCAGCACAATGCAATCACGGCGACGGCGGTGCACGGGTTATAGGATCGCCAGCAGTCGACAGCGTGCATGAAAGCTCGGACATGTATGTGCTGAAATTGGGGTGGGCCTGCTCGCTCGTGACCTCTCAGATGAGATCACTGCGTGTGATTAGGGCCTCCAGAAGGCGGCACGCCAAGCCCAGCAAGCAGGAGGCCTTTCTGCCCGTTGCTGCTGCTGCTGCTTCGCGCCAGAAACAGTGGGAAAGCTAACACGTACGCGAATGCAAACGGCAGACACGTCGAGCACCACGTGTGCAGCAACACCAGCAGACTCTGCTTCGGCGACAAGACAGACGCACGATGATCAGAAATGGTCCTGAGACCCGCCCAAACCCGCAGGAAGGTCATGAGGTCCAGCTTGCTCCTCTTACTAGTTGAGCGCGCGCGCCGCTCTTATTATTATTATTATGCAGCAGGAGCCGCGCTCGCATTGGCCGTCGGGCACGGTGCCGGTTGTCACTTCCATCAGAACATCTCCGACCGGGCAACGCATACTGCTGTCACTGCCTGTGTTGCGAGGACTGTTCATTGACACACGGCAGCGCCTCGTGCACACCATGCCGTGAGATGACGATGTTCCGAGTCGGCGCCCCTAGATCCTTGCACCAGGCAAAGCAAATACAATGGAAGCTGTCTGCTCACTCGCCCGACGCACGCTCGGGTACCTCACTACTCTCGCGCTGTGCTGCATGTCTGCATCACGGCTCTGACAACGACATTTCCACTTTGCGGACCAATCAAAAAATACGCATTTTGCGGGATGGACTGCCACTCTTCGGGCCTGCAGACGGACCGAGTGGGAAGCTTTCGTGCTCTGCTCTGCTCTGCATCTCGCACTTGTCTACTGCTGCTCGATCGAAGACAATTGGGAGAGCCGCATTGCTGCACACTCGCGCAGACTGGTAGCTGCCATCGAGCGCTCAGCGCTGCCTGCCACGATCGCGGTCAGCTCAACGCCGCATGCTCAACCAAGCGCACGGATCACCCAGCGATCTCGCTCTCTCAGCACTTCACAAAGTTCACATGCCATTGCCACAAGCGCCAAGCGAGTGCACTGCGACACCTGGAACGAAGCGACACGCGCTACCATCGTCTAGATCTTGCTAGTTCGCGTGGAGAACTGGTGCATCGAGCCCAGCATCGTGAGCTTCATCACGACCAATCCGTCTCGCTGACCGAGAACAGTCACGATAGTCGCAAATACTCCAGACGTCGCGCTGCCTATCCTCGTCCGCACTACTGCGAGTCTGGAGAGGTCATGCAGTACTAAGACTACGCAACACAGCGGCCCGAATCCTGAAGTTTGCGCGATATACGTGACAGGATACATGCCCTGCTGCCCAAATGCCGTTCGTTGGGAAAAGAGCGAGACGATGACACGACCAGAAGAACAGACAAGAAAATTCGACCTAGTTGTGTGTCGAGACTACCCTCAGAACAATTTACGGCACGCCGTTTCGTAATATTGCCAAATATGCCATACCTCCCGCTCCACGATTAAACGCCATCGTGACCGCACTAGTACCAGCAATGCTGCTGATTCCAGCTCTCGCGGAGCCGCGCTCTGCCTAAGCTCCACTTTTCCCGCCCTTCACCCCTCCACCACAGATGACTCCCCACAGTCACATGGCACGAGTACTATTCCTGCAGACTCCACTGCAAGTCCAGGCTTGCGCCAACCTCGCCTCAGGCGGTCGAGACGAGACTGACGAACACCCCAAACTACCGACAAACCCTAGACCGAGCATGACGATGCCTAATAACCTGACACCAGACCTCATCGGATCGCAGCTCTTTGCTATTATGCTTACATTTACAGTTACCAATGGTTCCACAGGGTCCGGTCTCTACCGGCAGTCGGAACCAAATATACGGGTCCTTTGCGCAAGAATGATGCCTTCTAGGCTCGAAGCGAGGAGCGAGTTCGAGACTTGACTACATTCTGGCCATGTGTCTTTTCCTCAACTCCGCCAGCTGGCGGCAGGGTCGCCTCCAGCTCCGGTCAGTGCAACGACAGGTGTTCGATGACACATTTGTACCACAGGTCCACGCGGATTGTGGCGGTCTCGCACTGCACGTGCAGTACGCTGACCGGTGATGGCAGTGGAAACGCTGCGTCTGGCGAGCGCAGCATGTCTGCTGTAACTTAGCTCATCAGGCACTTGAGATGGTTTCTGATCCCCCAAAAATTGGTTCCAAAGAAATCTTATCACCTGAATGCCATATGCAGAGTGCTCTCAGAACACCCTTCATGCGTACGAACGAGCCGCCTCAAACTCATTCACATTGCTTCTGCTTCCCATCATACCGACACCTCGCACAAGACCCTTTGGCCCTCTTACCCTCAAATACTGTCTGATTGTACGGCGTGTAAACCATACAGCGTGAAGCCCAGCCCTTGCGGACACAACGAACGCATGGCTCAGGTCTCTTCATCCCAGCCGGCGTTTCCTCAATTCGTCCAACGTGCGTCAAAATGCGTCGTCTAGCTTCTCTTATGCTTGCGAAACTGGCATCAGAGTCTATGCCAGTAGTGCGGGAGTAGTAAGTTTGAGTATGCCGTGGACGTCTGAAGATGAATGTGCTCTTCCCTTAGGGTCTGCCGGTCTTTTTCGGTGAGGCTGATGACGCGGGTGGAGTGGCAAGTTGATTGGTAGTTGTGGGTGCCGACTTCTCGTCGGTAGTCTGCTCTTCGATGTAGCTCGTGCTTATAGTCACAGTCTTCGCCATTACTGGTGCAGGTGGTGCTGATGCGCGCATTTTCTCATTCTCTGTCCGCACGGCGAAGTCGTCTGACCACTCTTCAGGAAGGAAGTCGAATATCGTTGATGGGTCGATGGAAGAGGACTCGCGGTTCGTGCGAGGATGTCGGTCGACGCAACGAGGAAAGGCTTTGAGTGGGCGTCGTAGTTTGCCGACTCGGCCACCAGGTTCGATTTCGGCAGCATGGCGCGATGCTAGACTGTTGATATGTCAGCTTTAAACAACCATCTCCAGCCTCATTTGACGCACCGTTTCGGACGTGAAGTAGAAGCGAACAGCATCATCAATGCCACTTGATAGGTATTGTGTTGTATCGTGGTAAAGATTAACCCGCCTCAGGCAACGCAAAATCGAAGAAAGTCCTATCGTTACACGCTCGCTAGAACGCTCAGAAAAGTATATCAAGTGAAGCGACAAAAAGGCTCACATGCATCGCATGCATCACTGCTGCCAATCACCATTCGCCAAAGGACTCTTCGGCCTATCCTGACCAGTAGAACGAATTCCATTCCCAAACCTCATAACTCCTTCCAACCCAGAAGCGAATTTCTTGCCCTTTTTCCTTTTCCTTCCAGGACTGCCCGATGGTCCAGAAGGGACACTCACCCTTGCACTGCCGATAGAATCCAAGGAAAGTCGTCCTTCTTGGGCTTGTCCATCTTCATCCTCCCACTCATCGGCTGGTACTTCGGCTCCTGAGCCACGAGGCGGCGAGGGAGCTTCGACGCTGATTTCAGGTTGAGGAGGGCCCTCTCGTGTGACTGGACGACTGTCCTCTGCGCCACCAGGCCCGCCATCATCGCTTGCATATTGTGGATCCGCAGGCGCAGTGCTTGAGCGCCAAAGTTTCCGCCTAAATAAGCTGACGGGGCTCCGACTCTCCGGCGATGGCGAGAGAGGTGGTGTGTCCCAGCCTGAGAGTGCCGTGGTGGACTTATTCAGCAATTGTTGCATCAGTGGCACTTCGAGAGCGCCGTTGTTAGACCTGCCAAAAAGGACAAGAGCCAGACACATGAGTAGCAGCGTCGATTGCACGATACCCATGCGTTTCTGCCAGACAAGTTCATCGGCAACCATTGTCAGTCGCGAACTGAGAGCTAGCATTTCGCGCTGATACGTCTCTCGTTGACCTTCGAGCTCAATCACCGTGCTCTGCCATAGTTGATCGTATGCCTGGCGGAAGCCGTGAAGCTCGGCCATGACTGTCTCGTTCAGATGGGAGAGGAACTTGCTTGTGGTCGCCACTTGTCGTTTCTCAACCTTGCTGAATGCTTCTCTCAATATGCGAGATTGCTCCTCGATGTATTGCAAGCTGAGAGTACTGTTGCTTTCCAATTGCTGCAGGCGTTTGTGAACCTGTTTGAAGAAAGACTCCTGGGTGGAGGGCTGGGCTGGTGGTGGCGAGCTTGCTGAGGATGCGACAGGACGTGTCGAATTGCTCGCAGCTGCTGTCTGATTGCCACTAGCGGAATAAGTGCTGCTGCTGGGACCTGTGGTGGAATTGGAAGTGCTATTGGCTGGCAGCACCGTGGCGCTTATCGGTTCTTCGCGTGCTGATGAGTCGTGCGAGGTCGAGGAGGAGTTGATCGCTACTTCAGTGTCTACATTCTGCTTCGTTACTGTAGGTGTGATTGTGCTAGCAGCATCACTGATAGATGACGAAGTCGAAGTAAAGGATGAGGTCGATCCAGTCTGTGGAAGCGCTGTGAGATTCGCGTTGGAGCTCGTTACGACTTCCGAAGTGGGCCGTTGATCGCAAGTCATGTTGGCATTCGTCGGCTCATAGACGCCTACAGCCATTGGGAAGCTGGCGTTGTCGTATTTTTCAGCCAGAGAGCTTGCAAGCGCTTCGGTACTGGACATGGTCGCCTCGTTTGATGTACAAGAAGAACATGATTCATCCTTCTGGGGCTTCTCTTGAGACGAGACACTGTCCGGCTCGCCAGGGACTACTGGCGGTATAGCCTGCTCTGTCGCCTTCGATGCCTCGTCTGTAGACTCCACAGGCTCCTGATGGATTGGAGGTGTTGCCAGAACTTCGGTGTCCAAGGTAACATCATCGATTTCGCCCCTTGCTAATTCTTCCTGATGTCTGTAGTCTTCCATCATCGTGATGCCGTGCACCCGGAGCAAACTCACAGGACAGTAGTATTCGGAGCCATAATGCGTGAGGAATTCGATACGTAGATATCTAGCCCAAATTTGAGGATTCTCGATCAAGAAGGCCTGTATCTCACGAGTATTGCGGGCCTCGAAAGTACCTAGATCCCGCCATTTTTCCATCTTGACGGGATACCGATCGGACACAGATAGTCTGAAGTGGCGGAAGCCAGAGCTGAAGAACTCGTAATTGGCCAGCACAATTGTGTCGATTTGTATGTCGTTGCACAACTCCACGATCAAGAATTTGTTGTCGGCCGCACACTTGTTGAGCATGTAGCTGTCTTTGCTTTCGACCAAGACGGACGTGGCGGACTTTGCCTCCTTGTTGTTCTTCAGAACAGTCGCAGCGCAGTCGAAGGATGCATAATTTGTGCGCTCCTTACAAGTTTTGCCAGCGTCTTTGGACCTGAGTGAGGTCGGATGACCTGGTACTGGCGTTTGCGCGGCTTCCGTTTGAGCTGTGGGGCTTTCGGGCATGGCGGACTGCGACACTCCCCCAAAGCCAACAAAGTCAATGTCAATCTCCTGCTCATCCCCTAGAGTATCGAGAGCATTGTTGACTGGTCGCGGCCGATGAGCATTGGTGGTCTGCGTTCGTCCAACATCATCAGGAGATTGGCCACTCTTGGCAAGGTTTTGCTTTTTCCAGTCCTCAAAGGACAGAAAGTTGGCATTGTCTAGGGCAGAGTCCGATTCCTCTTCTTCGACGGAGAGGCTTGCGGTACTGGCTGCGACATTGGCATCAGACGCAGTTGGTGAATTCGATGCATGGGCTGGACTTGGCTCATGCCGGGCGGAGGATGTATGCTCGCCTAAAATCGTGGTCGTGCCATTCGCTACGGTATATGTCACGGTGGCCACCTGCGGCCGTTCATCTGAAATCAACGTGGTCGCGAAGGTGCCCGTGTGATCTGTGGTGGTGAGGATATGTTGTGTGCCATTGGACGGAGCGCGATCAGTCCTCAGGCATTGTCGCGCTAGCGTGTGTGTTATATAGTTCACCGTCCGGCTGGGACATGTTCCTGTGCTGTTCGTAAAGTGTAAACCGAGCGTGCTCGATATGGCGCTTCCGGTGTATGGGGCCTGGGTGGTCTTAGGGACCGAGTCCGTATTACTGTCATAGCCGGTGGACTGCGCTCTGCCGAGCGCCGCGGCGACCCACAGGAAGACGATGGCATGGCGCAGCAGACTATTCATACTGCCGGCACATTGTTGTCTCCCTCAACCCCATAGATCCAGTGGAAATCGGATGATGCAGACCAGCTGGCGATGGGAGGATGACTCAAATGGGAGAAAGAGCGTTCTTGACACTTTGCAACGAAGCAGCTGCAGTTTCACCGCACAAAGACTCCTCCTTGGGTGGCGCTGGCGCTGGAGCTAGTGATATAGTACGCTCGTCATGCGCTGGCTGCAAATGCTGCGGGACCACGAGACCGCACGAGTCCCCGTGAATAATCTATGCAAGTGAATGATGCGGGCGACACGGGCAGTGAAGGAATGACTTGCATGTGATCTCCGCGATCTGCTGTTGTAAGGTGTCGGCTCGCTCAAAAAAGCTCCTTGACAAGGGCTCGGCTCGCCGGACCCAAGTCCGCCAGTCCCAGTTCCGACCCTTTCGTCTCGAGAAGTCTTGTGCATGAACGAACGTACACTTCGGGAGCAATGACTTTGATCTTCTCAGCGCGTGCGCGCATGCTCTGGGGTCATGCGCCGCGCGTGCGGTCGGCGGCAGCGTTCAGGCGCACTCTCGCCACTGTCGCCGACGTCCCAGCACAGTAGGAAACAGCACGTAAGCATTGGTGGTCGATACACTGACATCAAGGCAGACAACCTGTGGACGTCGTGGTCATTGGTGGCGGTCATGCAGGATGTGAGGCCTCTGCAGCAGCAGCACGAACTGGAGCACGAACGACGCTCGTCACACCCTCATACGACAACTTGGGAGTATGCAGCTGCAATCCATCCTTCGGCGGTATCGGAAAAGGGACGATGCTGCGTGAGATCGATGCGCTGGATGGTCTAGTGGGCCGAATAACAGACAAGGCTGGGGTGCAGTTCAGAGTGCTGAATAGGAAGAAAGGCCCAGCAGTGTGGGGTCCGCGCGCGCAGATCGATCGAGCGCTATACAAGAAGCACATGCGCGAAGAGATGACGAACTACCCAGGATTGCAGGTCAAAGAAGGGAAAGTGGCAGACATCATCGTGGACCGATCGCCGACGGCAGCGGCAGAGGGCAGACATGGCAGAATCACGGGCGTTCGATTGGAATCTGGCGAGATCATCAACACAAACAATGTCGTGATCACAACGGGCACATTTCTGGGCGGCGAGATACACATCGGACTGGAGGTATTCCCATCCGGGCGGATGGGAGAAGCGGCGACCTTTGGATTGTCCAAATCCTTGAAGGAAGCAGGATTCCAGCTGGGCAGATTGAAGACTGGAACACCACCTCGATTGGACAAGAAGTCCATCGATTTTGCAAAGCTCGAGGTCCAGCCCGGTGACGAGCCTCCAATGCCGTTTTCGTACCTCAACGAACGTGTCGCGGTCGAAGAGCAACTCAATTGCTGGAGCACTCACACAAACCCAGAAGCTCACGAGATCATTCGACAAAATCTGGACAAAAGCATTCATATCCGCGAGAGTGTCAAAGGTCCACGCTATTGCCCCTCGTTGGAGAGTAAAGTCATTCGCTTTACGTCGAAGAACCATCATCTGATTTGGCTAGAACCGGAAGGATTTGACAACGATGTCATCTATCCAAATGGCGTGAGTATGACCGTTCCAGCCGAAACCCAAGAGGCCATGCTCAAGAAAGTGGTCGGGTTGCAGAACGTGAAGATGCTTCAGCCAGGTTATGGGGTCGAGTACGATTACGTCGATCCTCGTAGTTTACGGAGCACGCTCGAGACCAAGGCCATCTCAGGACTCTTCCTCGCAGGGCAGATCAACGGAACGACAGGATACGAAGAAGCCGCCGCGCAGGGCATATTGGCGGGCATCAATGCTGGTAATGCCGCAGTCGGCCGTGATCCTTTCACAATGTCTCGTGCCGATGGGTATATTGGCATTATGGTCGACGATCTCATCACCAAGGGTGTTAGTGAGCCATATAGGATGTTCACCAGCCGAAGCGAGTATCGAATGTCAGCACGTGCCGACAACGCAGATTTACGCCTCACAGCGAAAGGTCGCGAAGCTGGTGCCGTGGGTGATAAGCGCTGGTCGGCGTTCAGTGATGAGAGAACACAGATGAAAGAGTTGCGAAGTCTACTAGAGGGCAGGAAGTTCAGCGCGCAAAGTTGGCTCCAAAACGGGTTTCCAGTCCGAAGTGATACAACAAAACGATCTGCGTTCGATCTTCTTCGGCATGCGAATATCACGACCGACTCCCTGATCTCTATGATACCAGAGATTTCCCAATTCCCAACACGCATACGAGACCGAATTACTATTGAAGGTGTGTACGCACCGTATATTCACCAGCAGGAGAATCAAGCGGCTTCCTTTGCCCGCGACGAAAGCCTGCTTCTACCACCGGATCTCGATTACCACGCCATTCATGGGCTGAGCTGGGAGGAAAAGAAGATTCTCAGTGAGACGAGACCAGAAAGTGTCGGCCAAGCGAGAAGAGTCGAAAACGTCACTCCCAATGGCGCGCTTACGTTACTGGCATACGTTCGCGGGACTTGGAGGCGGGATCAGAAAGCAAAAGCATTCAAGGAGGCCATCGAGAGCCAGCCACCAGGGCAAGAGGTGGAGACCGTGGCATGAACAGTGTACAGATATGGAATCCTATCGCATAGCGCAGGCGCCAACGTGTACAGTACGTGGGGAGTTTTCGGGCAGAGAGCCAATACCCTCCTGAAATGAGGGCGGATTGTATGTATAGCCACGACGGAATTAACGAAGAGCAACACCTCTCTTTCACATCCGATCCTGAGACCATCTCTGCCAAAGACCCACATCACCAAATCACCTGACCGAGATCTCATGCGCGTCAACACAGTGACATGAACTAGCTTACCGTCTAGCAGGGGACCAAGGAACCCGAGTATGTGGGAAGCGGTGTGATGAAGTTGAAACAAGCTGTGCAGGCATTGTTATTGTTGTCGCACTTTTTTGAAGAGCCGGCCATTTTCGCCGGTTTGTACGCCGGTCCAAGCGGTGTAATATACTAGTGACAGTCGTTTCGCGGCAGAGCTTCGCTAGGGCTTATGCGTGTAGATTGTGTGTCAGAGACCTTCATCATGAACCGGGTTGTGAGTTTGAAAGAATTGTAGGCTGCAGTGTTCATGATTCTGCCGTAGCATCTTCAGGTTTCGGAATTCTTCGAGGGAGAATTCCATTACGCGATGGGTTTGTCGGTGTCGACCATTATTTTTCGGCAACTGAGGATGTCTCGCAGAAGCATAGATCGATTTTCGAGAAAAAGGAAGAGTGACTGCTGGAGGAAGCTTGTTGCTGCTCCGCTTGCTCCGGGACAACTGAAGAGATCTTGAAGCACAAGCAGCTTGCCAGCTCCTCACGCCATCGTCCAAGCAGCACTTCTAGATCATGTGTAAGGCAGTGTCATGGAAGCTTGGCATTTCTGTCATCATTTACGATACTGCACGGCCAAATATGCCACTGCTTTTGCTTCTTTCCTTTGTCAAACCGACTCCGGACGCCACATTTCATCCCAACCTTCATACTCGCCATAACTCCGCAGTTCATACCATCGCCTAATCACTGCTAGAGCAGCCTCTGCATCCACAGCTGACGCACTGAATCTCCTGGTCCTCTTTCAGCTGCTCTCTTGGCACGCGGCAGATGCATGTGCTGTTGAAGTTGGTCTCCTTAGTCTGGATGCACCTCAGACAGCAAAGCTTCTCATAGCCCTGCTTCTTCCACTTGGCAATGAGGTTGGCGTCTGCGTAGCCATTCTTGAGCAGCCAATCGTACAACTTCTTGTCGATGGCTTCTTTGTCGTAGTACAAATCGTAGATGTACCTCGAGCCTGTGAGAGCAAAAAGTCAGTTGGTACAAAGTGGACGAGCCACAGAGAGCGCGAGGTCAAGTTGGGACAATGACTCACTTTTGTGGCTCGCGCAGCGGTGCGAGCATAATAATGCAGTTTGCGTTGAAGGATAATCTGGGAGTGGGTTGTGTTAGGTTGGGCAGGGTAAGCACCTACGCTGATGAGTGATTTGGAAGACCGGCCAAGTCATTTCGTGCTTCTTCTTGCCCTCATGACTGGCATTCTCGGCATCTTTCATCTTGTTCTGGAACTCGAGCAGAGTATCTTCGATATCTTCGAAGCCATCTGGCGGCGGCTTTCGGTTCTTGGCCGTGCGGATGGCAGGCATGGTGGCGGTTGTGAAAGTACGAGCCGCTGGTTTCAAACGCGATCTGCTTGACGCGGTATTACACGGCGCGCGAGATTCTGATCACGGCAGTCGATACTGATGGGCGTTTGCGATGTGCGTGGACACTGAGTTCAATATTGTGCGATTCAGGTTCAGTCAGAAGAAAGTGAAGCCTGTGGAACTTTGCGGGAGCACCCGATTGGCAGGAGCGGTCCACCTCGCGCCGCAACGCGAACTCGCAGCTCGTAGCTCCTACTGCTTGAAACAAATCCATTACTTTTGCGAATTCATCGATCGCAATCATGGCGGACACGGATACGCGACGCGACTATCGAGATGGGGGAGGCCGCGATCGCGGATACGGCGGCGGTGGAGGTGGCCGCGGCTACAACAAACGCAAGCGCAGAGGTCAGATTCTCCTGAGCCTTGACCACGCTCGCGGATCACAGCTAACATTGAAGTGTAGATGATGATGACTACGATCAGGGCTTCCGCAACCAGCGACAACGCCAGGAGCCGCCACCGGGCACGAGAATTAGGAAGGGTCTGCTCGAGATTGGCGAGGACCTGTTGCGTCTGCCGCATGAGGTGGCTGCGAACGTAGCCAAGCTGGCTGCAGACAACTACGAGGACGATTATGTCAAGGATACATTCCGGGTCGCTTCGCTCAAGCTGGTCTTGGAGCAGCCTTTTAAGATCCCATTCATTGCCGCTGTTGTGCTCTATGCGAATGCGGAAAAGTCAGAAATGACAGAAGATGTGATCAAGCATGTCGCACAAGAGCTGCAAGCTGCGATGGATGCTGGAAAACTCAAGGAAGTGAAGCTTCTGCTGCGCTTCCTGGCCTGCCTCGGACCTCTCTTCGAACAGGATGGAATTGTGCCAATCTTGGATGAGCTTTTCGACAAGGCGGCCGATTTGCAAACCGCTTCGACTGAGGATGCAGTCGGTATCGAACTCTGCAAGATCATCTTGCTCACGATCCCGTATCTTATTGCATCCTCCACGGACGCCTCATCTTTGGCGCAGAAGGTCGGAGAATTGCTCGAGAAGACCGAGATCATTGCATCCACTTCGCATGCTTTGGAGGCGCTCGTCGACCCATATCCTCAACAAGATGGTCAAGAGAAGGCTATGGCGTGCCAAAGTGTGGTCTCGCTCTTGCAAGCGCAACTTAACGAGGAGGCGAACAATGGCTGGAAGCTATTCTGCATACCGCGAGTCTACGATCCGAGTTACAAGCCGGCAGCTGTGAAGACCGAGAACGGCGACGGCGAGGGTGAAGGCGAAGGCGAAACGAATGGCGTCGAGGAAGCCAAAGAACCAGCAAAGCACACCTTCCCGTCAATCACAGTACCGTCAACGATCAGTGCGGGAACTAAGATCTTGCTGCCAGAGGTCTACTTCTCCTTATTCGCGGACCAGGAGATCGAGTCGGTACCGCCGACCAACAACATCGCGGCGTCTCTCTTGCGTGATGCGACTACCGACACGATCAACATTCTGGACTTCAATCGAAACGCCGTGGCGAAGTTTCTTAATGAGATTGATTGCTATTGGGCGAAAGACACATTTGTCAAGCGTTCGACCACGTTTGACAAGCTACGCGATCTGCCAGAAGGCAGACCAACGTGGAAGCCAGAGGACGTCACGATCGATGCCATTTTCTCCCAGATTTTCCAATTACCCACACCGGAACACCGACTTGTGTATTATCACTCACTGATTACCGAGTCTTGCAAGATCTCGCCCGGCGCGATAGCTCCGAGTCTGGGGCGAGCGATCCGCTTCCTGTTCCGCAGCATCGATCAGATGGATATGGAGTTGTCTTATCGATTCATGGATTGGTTTGCTCATCATCTCAGCAATTTCGAGTTTCGATGGAAGTGGACCGAGTGGTGAGTCCCTTTCCGAGCACTAAATGCAACACAAGCTGACAATACATCAACAGGATACCTGACGTCGAGCTACCTAACCTCGAGCCGAAGAAGGCATTCATCAACGGAGTCTTGGATAAGGAGATCCGATTATCATTCGCAAAGCGTATTCGAGCAACCCTCCCGGAGCCTTACCACAAGCTCATTCCGGCCAGCAAGGAGAAAGATATTCCCGACTTCAAATTTGCCAACGAGCAGACCCCATATGCGAAGGAGGGCCAGGAAGTCCTGGCGCTATTGAAGAAGAAGGCGCCTGAGGACGAGATCCAGAAAGTCCTCGATTCTGTTCACGAACAGGCAGCTGCTCGTGGAGTGGCAGATCCTCTTGTCGCATCCACGGACATCTACATGACCTCCATCCTCAGTATCGGATCCAAGTCACTGTCGCACGTGCTGTCGACCATTGATCGCTGCAAAGAGCGTCTCCTAAACATCGGACAATCGTCTGAGTCGGCGCGGAGACAGGTCATCGCTTCTGTAGTTGACTTCTGGTCGGATCACCCAGGCACTGCAGTCAACATCGTTGACAAGCTGCTCAACTACACCATCATCACGCCGATGAGTGTAATCTCCTGGGCGCTTGTGGACAATATGGATCGCGGACGGGCACTGGCTAGTAGCCAGGTCTACGAAATGGTGAGCATCACCATGTTCAAGGTCACGAACCGCGTGAGACAAGTCCTCGGTGAGCGCAACAATCTCAACTTGGACTACTCGAGCCGAAAGCAGATCGATGAGGCGCTGCCGAATGAGCGACAAGCTATGCGCGATCTGTTCGCCGCCATCGAGGACGCTGTCTCAGCAGTAGCGAACGGTGCTCAGGATGAGATGATTGAGCGCTATGATGGAGATAACAACGAGCAACAGCTTATTCAGCTCTGGGGTCAGCGCTGGGCCAGAGTTTGGAGACGCAAGGCTGCCGTCGAGGAAGCTATCGTCGGCGAGGCAGTCATTGGCCCGCTTGAGGAGCCTGCTGTCGTCGAGCAGCCTGACGTTATGGAGGACTTTGATCAGGTATCTTAGCAAGATCGTGACGAAGTCCTCTAGTCGTCTGTCCCTCACGGGTCCTGCGCTAGCGATGAGGCAATATGTCTGAAATGGATCACGATGTGCCATCGATGAAGGTCGTCACGAACCGGCCACGAAGTAAAGCGCAGGTCTTGCATAGCAACCACGTTGCTTTCCTTGCGAATACTGCGGCTACGCAGCTGCAGACTTGCACACATATGCTACACGCTTCAATGCACTTGTCGAAATGTTATGCATCATAGAAAAGCTGCCACGAAAAACCAGCGTCGCAAAACAGATGAATTGGAAAGATACGTTGCTTGTCCACTCCAGAGCATCCCATCCCATCCCATCCCATCCCATCCCATCTCACGTTTCCATACCACGTAAATGCCGGCAAAATGAGGAGAACTAGTCATCATTCAATGACTGACTACTTCCGTTGTTGCCCTACCCGTCCACCTTAGGTCTTCGAAAGAAAGACGTGCAGTTGAAATACAGTTCAAAGATCTAAGCTTAGGGTTCATATGGTGGAAAAGTCTCATAAATGCAACTGGTTGCTCTAAAATTTCGAGTTTGCTTTAAATTCTTCGAATGAACTTAAGAATACTGCTGGTTGCTTTGAAAGTAATTTTCGTGATTTTGGCTTCATGGTTGCTTTTTTGCGTCTTCACGTTCACACGTGGAGGACATGCTGATGAGGTTGTTTTGTTAGGTTTTAGTTCTAGCGATGAAGGCATGTGCTGCAAACTCGACTGGATAGGCTTTGACTTTGAGTCTGTGGAGCTTTTGTTGACTTCATGTTTATGTTTGCTGTTTCCGGTGTTTCTACGTTGGATATCAAGCATTGATATTCCAACGACTATCGCGAGGCGTGACTTGTGAAAATGAGAGCAAGTATGGCCCTGAAGGCAGCATGCTGCGTTCACGCGGGCACTCTATGAGCAGGCTCATCTTGGAGTCAATGATGTTCTCACGGTGATTGCGCTGCCTTGCGAACCGGCCACTGCGAGCGCAGACCGATGTCCCGCCTCATCCGCCTATGGCTAATTAGGCAGAGCTCTATCATCTCACGGCGCCATTCTCATCGCGTCGGTGCTGCGGAATCGACACATGATGAAGCTGCAATGGCCTGGAGAATTGTCGATGAGCATGCTATGCTCCATAGCTCGGATGGCCTGCGTAAGGGTGAGAAGTAGCACCGTGCGTACAGTAATCCAATATCCCGCCCGTGCTGACCGGTTCGCTGTCAATTCCATGAGCTGTTGTGGCTCACAGGCATCTGCCGGTCAAATCGTTGACCTCGGTCTACTTGCTTGCTCATCCGCACGTACCAACACCGATACAAAGAGAGCCGGCGCCGAAGGGCATTTAACCGTGCCGTAGCGTGCGCGATGGGTCGTGTGATGCTTACCTGATACCTGTACTGCAGTTGGTAGGCACTTCAGTTGTGTGCTGTTTCCATCTATCGACGGCGGACTTCTCTCCAGAGAACGCCACACCACGAAGACATTTACCATGCAAAGCTTCGTGGAGATCCGTATTAGACTTTCTTCACTTGAACGCGTCCACGTGGCGCGCTTCGCTCGTGCTGCTGGCAGCCTTGAAGACACACAGACCTCAAATGAAGCTATGCAAGCCTTGCCAGGTTTGAGCTATTCCTGCTAGCCACGGAGCCTGGGAATGCGCAAGTACCTGGTTCAGTACCTCGACCGAAAGAGGTCAACGGAGAAGTGCACTGGCTCTCGATTCGTACACCTGGTAAGCAGCTGTGCTGCGGAGTTCCATGCGCGAGGTAGCTCAAAGTAACGTGCTGGTGCTTGTCCGGCCATGAGGAAGGTGCTCGGATGAGTACCGCTGTCTCCTGATTGTGAACGGAACCTCGTCTTGCGAGCACATTTGGTATCCGAGCCAGGTCTAGTGCATCTCGTTCTTCCTGTTTTGCCCGCGTGCGCCCACGCAACACGCGCTATCTTGCTTGTATCCCAGAGCTGCACTTGAAGTAGTTTATCCGGCTCGTGATGGATGTTGGATCCACGCAAGGGGAAACGCGCGCAAAAGGGTCATCGACCTCGCGTAGTCTGTAGTCTGGCAAGGACTCACCGCAGCTCTTGTCATCCTGGACGTAGATCACAGGGTGGACAATTGGATAGACCCAATGGAATGTCTTCAATAAGCGATTGGAGAATTGGGTAGCTGACTGTAAGCTCTGGAGAACCCAGCGCATGGGTATGAACCTGCTGCACCCAAGCAATGCCAGAGCAGATATACTCGAGATCGCGGAACTTTCGAGGCTGGAGATCTGCCATGTGCCGACCGCACCTCTTCAACAGCGACACAATACTCTGCCGTATAGTCCACAGCTAATGTAATCGTCTGGCAGTGGCCAGAAACTCCTTCATCGAGCTTGCAATCTTGCGCAGGGTCATGACGTTAAGGACACTTGTCTCTCAATGTCCCTGCGAATGCGGTGAGCAAGTGAGCCACTCATTGCTGCTCCCTCTGACCAGCCTACTCTCGCCGGAACTGGTACAACAATGCGTGAGCATGTTGGATGATACCGTGATGAGATACAAGTGACACTCATCTCCGAGCGACTCCTCGCATCATCCCAACTGCACAGCAGCCCTGAGGGCGCCGGATACTGGGCAGCTGCATGTGAAGTGGTATCGCTGTCGACTGTGCAGGGAGCGAAGAAGGCCGGCCGAATTAGCTGAACCTTCTTCCTGTCCTAGCTCTCCTGGCTGCCCCGTGTGTCCCGTTTCTCAGGCCATCTCCCCTGCACGGGCTAGTGCTGGCTGCAAGGTCTAAGCATGGAAGTTGCAGGATGCCATGATTCGTGCTCCCGTTGCCAAATGGGTGAGTGGTGATGGCCCGGCTGAGATTTTGGTCACCGCGAACACGCGTGAGCCACCCGCAGGAATCGATAGCTTTGCAGCGGGCGCCGCCATCATCGAGGTGACGCGGTCTAGAAGGACATCGAGACCAATAGCGACAGCGTGCTTGTGAGAACCAGGTTGCAGAGCAGAGCCATGATCAATTGGGAAGGCGATGTCCCCGATTGTCGTGGCGTCTGTTTTCCAAATCCGATGTGGTGACATGGGTGCGTGACCAGCACAACGCGCTAGAAAGCAAGAATTGGCGACGATCTTGTCATCGGCCACGAACGTCAGCTGTGCCGCCGCTGGCCTAGAATTTCATTTCGTGGCGCCTTCCGCGAAGAGGAAGCAGTGCGCGCATTTAGGGCACGTCCACTCGCTGTGGTGACGGCCATTTCCTGCTCGCTATCCGTATTCGTGTCGGCTTTGCAAAGTAGGACTGGCAAATCGCCTTCAGAGAGAAGGCGCAAAGTAGTGCCGTGGCATCGCTCGACTGGGCAAATGCGAAATGGGATGCATTGAGTTTGCACGAAGCTCTGTTTCGCGTGTTCAGTCAACTTTAATGTTATCTGGGCGAAGTCTGTTTCTTGCAGATGGAAAGTCTGCTGGAAGAGAGTTTGTCGACATTCGTCGACATGAAACGTCTGTGTTTCGGAAAAAAATCTCGAGACTGCCTGGGTGATGATTTGAGCAACTATAACAGGCCCAGCGAGATATGTCGACATCTGTCGTCACTTGCACATTTGAACTCTCGACAAACTCAATGGATTCGGCCAGAAAATGGCGGCGACTGTGCCGAGTCGACGCATGTCCTGATGGATGTGATGCCTGGACCGGCTTATTGCAGGTGATGTAGCCGGAATGCTCTTTGCTGTTCTCCTTGATGAATGTGACAAATTTCTTTCGATGCTGGCTTTGCAGTCAAGTTTATTGCGCATGTGACTGATACACCTTACTGACCTGACTCGTCTGCAGAAGAACGCTCTTTCATCGACACGGTACGAGCTCGGCGTGATGAGCGGGTGGGCGATCAATCTGCTGAAAGTGCACGCAAGCGCATGCCAATCACACTCGAATCTCAGGCAGTTCTGCGGTGAGGACACCGCTCCGCCCAGAACAGCTGCTCCGACGATGCGCCATCACCGCGTCGGAGAACAACCATCGACTTCTTCAAATGATTGACTGGTGAACACTAGCTGGGGGATTCACGACGTTGGAAATCGAATACCACAACATATGGGCCCTGTGGCAGGACGGATGCCTGGGGTTTCTGCGTGATGCATGTCTCCATTTGGGAAATGCGAAAGACTCACGTCAAGTTGCCGCATCAGACGTTTAGGGCAAGTACTGTTGATGATGGCCTGCGAGGCGGAAGTCTCGTCGAAGAATTGGTGTACCCCAACATTGATGGTCATGATTCGGACCTGAATCGAAGACGCCAGGCCATTCAGATCACAAATCAGCGTGACGGGTTTTCCGTGGAGATATTTGCCTTGCCATTGCAATCGCTGCTTGTCGAAGAAGAGGCCTTCAGCGATTCATCCGACCGGTACGTGTGCCGCGCTGTTTCCATCGCCATGGCAGAACCGCAGCTCACTGCAAATCCGCGGCAGCCTCGCGATGGCACTCGTGATCACTCGATACGATTGGGTTGATGCGAAACACTAGGGCACAGCTGATGTCAAGTTCGCACAGCGGGCTCTTGACGCCGCGGACGAGCCCAAATGTGCTCTAAAGCCCAGGACCCGACAAGACGTTGTATAATGCCGGCGCATCGAGCGGGTAACAGGTTGTGTCCTGTCATTCACAGTTCAGGGCATCATGCCTTAGCAGCGCAGCTATTGCAGCTTTTGCGACAACCCTACTGCAGACGGACTGCGGGTCGGAAAGACAGTGCATCGGAAGTGATCGACACTGGTGACTTCTGATATGAGCAGGTATCATGACTCGAGATACGTCGATACCAGAAAGTCTTCAGCGTTGAAACGCTCACTGATGGACGTTGTTCATGGTGGCGAGCATGATTGATACCGAGCATGATGATGGCAAGCATGCGAGTATGCATTTGGTGCAATCCAAGACATTGAAGTCAGGCAGTCGATAACGTCTCTTCGTGAATGTAATTCAACGAATGTGTCGATATGTCATGCATGACCTCCAAAGCCGTTGAGGATAAGATTCTGTCAAGCCAAAGCAAGGCTATCGTTTCGTGGAGGGTGGAGGCAACCTTGGAGCGTCCCACACAGTTGTTGAATTCGGTCGGATTGCTCAACGCTTCAAATCTCTACCGCGGTACCCTAAACGCGATTTCCGTGTCGTTGTCGCGGAAGACAGGCATAAATGTCGATAGCACCCGCAGATGGCGGTACGTCTGGAACCATTACTCGAGTGCAGTGTTGACCATTAGCAAATTAGCATCTGGCAGCCGCACAGTTGAAACGAGTCAACCCCACAGAGAAAGCATTAATCGCGACTCACATGGCCTGTTTGCTTGCCCAGCGGTCTGACAAACTTGTCACGCCTGTACACGACCACGTTGTGTCTTTCGGAGGGTGGTCGGCTACAATGCAGACCGATCACGATCTAGATGGTGATGCTATTGCAGCAGTGTTAGTTTCGAATGGCTCATGCAGCTAGAGTAGCCATTTGCATCTGCGAAGACAATGAGCCAATGCAACATGAGCAAATACCCTGCACGCGATGCAATTGGCGCTTGGAATCGGAGTGCGTGGTTTAATGGTGCCCCTCCTTCCGCTTTTGGTCGAGCACCTTGGTGCTATGCGGTCACCGAATGACTGCGACCGTTGGAAATAACTCGAATCGCCACGAAGACCCAGGGCCATACCAGCGCGTGCCAAGTAGTACCCGATGGATGGGAGGCGTGTGGTGATGGACACTGGCTTGCATCCTGGTCCAGGATGTGAAGGCGCGCGAGAATGATCGGCGGAATCTGCCGCGAATCGAATTTGTGATCGTGCAGATCCACGGAAGGTCGCTCGGCCGCGTTGTGGGTCGCATTCTGACCGAGCAGCAGCATTCGTCGCGTCGTATTCGAGCGAGGTACATGTCGCAGTCGAGGGAGCGCGGCGTGAGAGAGCGTCCCTGAGCATGACAGTTGATGTGAAGGTGTACTATGCTGGGTTGTACAAACCGCTGTCGGCAGCTGCCTTTGAGTTTGACTCGCTCCAAGGGACGCTGCAGAAGGTGTGAGCCAAATCCCAAGAGAGTGCAAAGCCAATCTGACAGGGCCGAGCTGGACTGGGGAGCAGCCCAAAGCAACCTGGTAGCTGGCTTGCGCTGATGAAAGCTGGACGACGAAGGCTGGACCATGGCGTGGGCACTGACACTGACTCCAACTGCTCGCCGTCACAAGCGCGTTCCCGGTCGTGCTAAGCTGATGCTACTGCTCGTGTATTCCTACCAGCGCAGTCGACGGTCAACCGCAGGCTGTGCTTTGGTGCTCTTGCCTGCTACGGCCACTCTACTTTCCCGCATCTGCGCTAGGAGATGGGTGCCGCACGCCTGCTGAGTGGCGGGCTGAGGACTGCAGCGCGGGCGTCGTGTGGGCAGCTCCCATCCGGTGCACGTGCGATGCGATCCGAGGCAAGTTGCGCGCAGTCGTAAGCAGACGCCTGGCAGCGAGCGAGCGTGACATGTACTAGCGATGGAATTTGAAATGGAGGCAGTCTATGCTGATCGCCAGCCAAGTCGGGTCGGAGCAGGCTTGGGTGTGGCAGCTTCGATACGGGGACCAGTGATCGACTGCACATTCGGCTGGCCGGTTGAGAGCGTGCATGCCGTATCAAACTCTGTGGTGGTCGTTTTCTTCACGCGCTGTCATCCTCCTGTGCTACGGGAGTCAAAGCATATATCATATGGCCGTCGTGGCNCGGGCGGGCGTGCGAGCACGCGCATCTCGAGGGCGGTGCGGTGCCGTCTGTCTGCGACAACTCGCAGACTGGCGCTATTGGCCGTGGCCCGCCGAGCTCCAGCCGGTGTGCTGTTCATTCCCTTGGTGCTGGGATGGGCAGTGTTGTAGCCGGGTCGTGCCTTCCGGATCTGCAGGGAGCGTGACATATGGCCAGCGAGCGCTGCTACGGACTGGACTGCACTGCTGCTGGAGCTGCGGCGGGCGGCCGGCGATGCAGCGCGCGATGGTGGAGGCTG